CTTACACTGAACTTTATCAAACAAAAGCATGTACCGGATATTTTTTAGTGTATATAAAATATAAATATAAATATGTATTTCCATCCATCCATCTGGCTTAATATTGTTGGGGGAAGAGGATACTCTCCCCAAAATATTAAGTCATTATTATATTCCTGATAAAATATCTACTAGACTTTCTATTCCTTTAGTATATTTCAAAATATTAATATGCTTCAGTGTATTAGTTATCACCTTTGTACCTACATTTGAAATCAGATTCAGTATTAGCTTAGTCTTGCTATCACACTGAAGCTACTTTCGTGAAATGAACTAAGAAGAGTTTCATGTTTTTCAATGATTTATTTTTTTCTGTATTTTTTAGGGAAGGGTCTACAGTGTGTTCAGAGTTTCACTACTAGGTTGGACTCATAGTGATTCTCCCATTCACAGCCTCCCAAGTGGTGGGATTATAACAGGCGCACACCACCACCAGGCCCTGGGGGCGGGGCCGGCACTGCAGGCCTGAGGATCAACCCCCACCCCTGCTCCCAGGTACTTTAATCCGCTGAGCTGGCCCTTCAATGATTTAAAATAATATATATAATACAGGTATATATTGGAATTGCCTCCCTAGTGTAAGTAGCTGAAAGAGATGGTAAAATTTAAAACATAAGATAGATATTGTGAAACAGAATGAAATTGTTCAAAAGGAAAGAACAAACGGGATGGGGGAAAGAAGAAGGAAGAGGAAAAAAAATACACACACACACACACACACACACACACACGATAGATAACATAACTGTACTACTAATTTCTGTTAGTTCATTGAAAGGAACATTTAGTGCTTTTATTGTCTGACCAACTGTGCATGCCTCTATCTGGTAAGCTGAGCAATTGCATGGAAGACAACAATATGCAGTAGAATAACCCTTGTTAATTTTCTGTCATCTTGTTTTGAAATTTTGTATTTTTTTTCTATTTTTATTTTATTCTCTTTAAAATATTTTCTAAAAAGATTAATATTTTCTTTGAAAATGTGACAAAATCAGGTAAGTGTATTTAGGGTAGATTAATCCTTTAAATTTTTATACCTTTCAAAAATTAGTGATTTAAATTTTCTTTCTTGTTGGTAAATTTTGATGCACTATAGTTTCATAAAAATTGCCTATTTTAGAAAATGTTGGGCTGGGGAGATGGCTTAGTGGAATAAGCGCTTCCCTGGCAAGCGCAAGGGTCTGAGTTCAATCCCCGGTTCCAACAACAACAAAAAATGTTTACAAAGTTAAAAATTAATAGTATAAAGCTATGTACATAATTTATACTTGTAAAAAATAATTTTTTTTTCTCCTAGAAATTTCTTTCCTGTTTTTGGCTAAAGGTACAGCCTACTAATTATAAATTTTCTTATGAGACTAATATTCATAATAAAGGTTTTTTTAAAGAATGCTGGCATTGATGTAAAAATCTGTTTTAGTTGGGCATGGTAGGGCACAGTTCTACTCCTAGGACACTGGCAGGCTGAGACAGAAGGATCAAAATAGTCTGAGCTCCAGCTGGGCAATTTATTACGTCAGCAAGATCTGGTCTCAAAAAAATTAAAAAATGGCTGGGGATATAAGCTGAGTGTGGAAGTGTTACTCTACTTCTTTTAATACTTCACAGCATGGTTTAGGAACATCTTTATTTTTAAGGAAGCTCACAGAAATACCTAGAGTAAAAGCTAAGTATCATGTACATATGGGTTATAGCTATAGACATGGGGTATCGCTACACTTCAATGTCAGTTACAAATCTTTTACACTACACAATCACAAAAATCTTGCTAGTATACACTATAGAAATGATCCCTGAAAGTATAGCCTTAACTACAAATCTTAAAGCTTAAACATCTATTCACCTCAGAATTTTCCAAATTTTATCAGCTCAAATAAATTATTTGCTCACCCTTATCTGTGTAATGTTAAGGACAAGGATGATTTTGTTCCCTACGTGTTTTTTTTTTTTTCCCCTCTTGGTTTTATAGATCATTGCTGAAAAACTAAGATTTAAAATAATGCATATCAAAGAAACATCTATTTTAATTAAGGAATGCATGGAGATTTCCATGCCATGGAACTGATTTATTCTAGATAAACTGCTAATTAAAAATTCTGATTAGTGATTTGAAGTGTTCTTTTAATACTTCACATACATTCACTGGTATCCCCGCCAAAAGGGGCAGCAAAGTTTACTAGTTCAGTTCTCACGCAATTCTCCTTTCTCGGCCCCAGGGAAACAGAATAAGGACGACCTTGTACTGGACAACAGAACATTGGTATTTTAAAGAAATGTTGTGGTGAGTCCATGAGCTTAAAGTTGCTCACGGACCAGCTCTATGCCCAGTAACCATCCTTATTATTCTAAACTTAGTCTCTTTTGTTTTCTACATTTTTATAATGTATTTTTATTACACTTTCCTTCAGCCTATGTTCAAGCATTCTCAGCATATTACACAACTAGCTCACTAACATGTCAAAAGAGGTAACACTAGTAACATGCTAAGGGCAGGGCCCATTAAGGAGGCTTATAATTAGACTTGGCCATTGCTAAAGTCACCTAATTTTGTATTTCATCCTTCACTTCTAAATTAACTCATTAAAAAAATACTTATACAAAGAAGGCAATGTTCTAATCTAACATGGGTCAGATATTTCTTAAGGGTAATTATTTAAGCTGGTAATTTCTTAAGACGGTAATTATTTAAAATTCCTGACTCACAAATAATCATTTTGACATGTAAATAGTGGGAAAATTTAAGTTTTGAAAAGATAAAAAAATTATGTTTTATACTGACAGGTCTCAGGAAGCCAAATTTGGAAGGGCAGCGATCACTGACCGCCAGGGCATCGTGAAGGGTATATGTACCGTCGTGAGTGCCTCTTACCTGATACAAAGGGCCATCCTGAGAGCAGACTTGCGAAGCTGAGCAGTTCAGACACCGAAACTGCGGAGGAGATGAACTCATCAGATAAGAGGCATCCACAACTGGATACATATTTAAAACTGAATATTTAAAATATTTTAATGTCAAACATAAGAGGCAACATGATTAATTTTTTTAAATAAACACTCTGAGAAAATGGTAGTTGTTTTGGAAAAAGTAGATTTAATAACTTAGTGATTGATAAAGTTTAGCTTTAAGTGATTTTAATATCTAGCTATGAGATTAATGTTTGGCAAAACAATACATGAAATTCCATATATATTTCAAAAACCTGATGACTACTGGGATGGAATGTTAAATTATATACAACTTCTATATAATTTACAATGCTATGGATTGAAGCCAGGACCTCAGGCGTGCTGGTGGAGAGCTCTACCACTAAATGACAACCTCAACACTGTTCGTTTTAATATAGGGTTTCACTAACTTGCCCAGGTTGGCCTTCAACTTGTGATCCTTCTGCTTCAGTCTTTGGAGCAGCTGGAAATACAGGCAATGCACCACCACGCCTGGCTATTTTTTTAAGGTATATTTTCTCCCACTATAAGGAAAAAATTCAGTGCCAAGTTGGTGTATAAGAATACTGAAGTGGCAAATACTTGTATAAACTGAAACATTTCTAAGAGTTAACTAAATTTGACCAGATATTTGATTCCTAAAGACAAGTATGTTTCAAGAAAGCACCCAATGAAAACGAAAGCCCAGGAAGAGCTGGGCCCACAAGAAAAAGGATACTGAAGTAGAACTACTGCAAGATAAAGAAAAACAATGGTACTGAGGCTGGGTGATGTGGGGAGATAGCAACTGAGAAGTGAAGGAAAATTAATTTGCCTGAGACTCTTCTTGGAAGGCTAGAAATAGGACACTGGGAGGGCTGATCTGAACATAGAGTAGCCTTGTCTGAGGCAGAAATAAGATTGAGAAAATAGTTTCCAAGAGGAAAGAAAACTACAGTTTCCCTCAGAGACACGAGCAAAAGATACTGAGCATACAAGGAGACAGCCTCATGGCAATGCACAGAATAATGAAGTACGAACATGCCAGTTCCAGACAAAACACAGAAATATAACTCAGTACCAAATTCAGCCAAAACAATTAAAAATAGGTGGCTTTTTTTATTGTGGTACTCTACTAACAGGTACTAATATATATCACAAACCTATAAAGGCCCAACTATTTGCCTTATTAGACATGACAGTTTGGACTTTAACCAAACTATTCCACAGAAATTAGACAATTAAGCCAAATAGTTACGTGATTAGATTTTTATAAAATCTACATGATGTGTAATGCTGGTTTAGAAAAAGACCCACTTGAAAGAATAAAACAAGGGCCAGGGAGATGGCTCAATGGAATAAGCGCTTCCCTGGCAAGTTTAAGGGCCTGAGTTCAATCCCCGGTTCTGCAAAAAAAAAAAAAAAAAAAAGAATAAAACAAAATACCCAGGAATACAAACATACGTTATATATAAGTATATAAATTATACTCAATTTACTCTAGATAAATACTGGGTTATGCACTGGGGACTACTTTAGGTACTGGACTTAGCAGTAAACAAATGGAAATCCATCAGTAAGATTACCTTTTACTTGGGAGACAAAACACCTATGTAGGAGGCAAGGGTGTTGGAGGGTAGCAAGCACCATGGAAAATAACAGGAGGCATTAAAATGTCACTGAAGTCAAAAATCTCACAAAGAAGGTAACCCAGAGGCTGAACAAAGTGAAGGGGGTAAAGAAGCTGGTTCGACACAGCACTAGCAGAGAACATGTGGGGGTGCAGAGGCCACTGTGGACAGAGACCTGTGCATGGCAGGGAGAGTAAGCGGACAGGTGGGAGAGGGACGCAGAAAATCCACTGTATGTAGCATTTACAGGTCTCAAGAGACAGGCTTTTATCTAAATCGTATTAAGCACTGCTGGCCAGACGTGAGCAGAGCAGCAGCATGCCTCCTGGCGCAGGCGCGGGCAGCACAGGTGGGGCAGCAAGGTGGAGCTCAGCTGCAGACGCTCAGAGTCGTTCTAGAGAACAGCCCTGGCGCATGGACCAGAGTGGTGGAGGGCAGGTCGTGAGACACGGCTGGGATCTGACTGAGTGCTCATGGTGCAAATTACAGAACTTGCTAAAGACGGATGAAAGAGAACGAACCCAGTCTGACTTCGGAGGTTTCGCTCTAAGCAAGCAGAAAAATGAAGCTATCAATTTCAAATGAGGCTAAAGACAGTGAGAAATAAAAAGAAATAAAGAAATGGTCTAGTATATTACTTTACTGTTGCGCTAAGATGACAATTTTTGTCTACCTAAATGACAAAGCTTAAGATTTTGAGCCTTTTTTTTTTTAAATGTATTTGGTACAGGGTGTCACTACACAGCTCAGACTTGTAGTGATCCTCCCATATTCCCTCCCCAGTGCGGGAGTATAGGTGTGCACTACCACGCCAGTCTCAGTGGGCCACTCATTACACATGGGGGCAGGGCCAGCACAGCAGGTGGTGCCAGGGATTGAACCCCAGTCCCTGCATGTGCCTAAGCAGACGCTTAGTCTGTTGAGCTAGCTTGCTGACCCTTGTACCACTTTTTGAACTTTTAATAAAATATGCCTCAACTAACCAAAGAACTTAAGTTATTAAGAAATGTGTGATCAGAAATGCTATGGGAGCAAATGCTGATTTACCTGACAGTCTATTAAAAGAAATTTAAGTGAATTAGCTCTTTCATGCTATGACAGGTAACTCAAAATGCAGGCACCTTCTGCTGGGATCTTGGGAAGGGCAATTTGGGATCTCACAGTGCTAGCCACTGGAATTTCTTTAGCCTTCTGCAAATACTCATAATAGTGACTTTTGGCACTAACACATGAAGTGCCTGCTGAATTACCCAAGTAACCTAAAATTACATTCAGTATATAATATTAAAATTGTGTGTAATATCACAACATCTACTCCCCAACAACAGTGGTTCAATTTATTCTCTGTAATTCTAACCTGCTAATACATATGTAACCATAAAAAACTATAAAATGTCACAGAAAGGCAAGTAATTATTTACCAAATAGAAAGAAAATTACATTTAAAAAACAAATCCTAAAAAAGGGTTGATGCGTTCTTTCAGAGTGTAATTTCTTTTGTCCTGGTTGTGAGCCCTGTTCTACTGGCGAGAGCATTCAGCTTCACAAGGAAGGCTTACCCACATGAGACCCAAACAGGAAAAACGAAGTTAAGTGCTTCATTTATTATATTCTCAGCACATCAAGATTTTCTTCTAAAAGGTAGCCCCAAGTTTTACCCACTAGATAAAACAAACATGATATTGTGAGGTTTGTTTCACCAGTTATAGAGATAAATTTTTCTTTTCCTCTTTCTTCTGGAGGGGCGGGATCTCACACTGTAGCTGAGCCCAGCCGCACACTTCTGTGATCCTCCCGCCACAGCCTTCCACGTGTTGGATTACAGGTGTGCACCACTACATGTGGCTAGTTATGGAGATTTACATTCATTGTCAAGCATGTTCTGAACTACTGAAACATGGCAACTTTCATACCTGGATTCTGTGTAATTAATTCATCTTGTGTGAAGTAACTTTTATTAATTATTTTATAATTTACATTTCACATGAAAATGCTGTAAAATGGAGTTCACAAAACAGAAATGCTAAATTTCTTGGGAGCTTAAAAGTACAGCATATTGCATGATAAGCACCATAAAAGTTGCCTGGTCACAACTTCTAATCTATCTTAATTAATTTTTTCATACACTCAGATCATGATAATAATTTCTGGAAGCAGTAATTATATATATATGTATTTATTTATTTATTCCATCACTCTTACATATCAGCCTGCCAATCCCTAGTGTCCACATCCTCCAAACAGCCCATGTTCCTTGTGATTCAGGTGGACCTGAACATAGAATTTAACCCTAATCAAGAGATAGTTTAAAAAAACCCCAGATTCTCTTCATGGGTTTTCTTAGCTTTTTTCCTCTGAGCAATCTCCTATCCTGCCTAGGGCTTGCGGCACACTCACCTAATTCTGCGTCAGGAGCCCTGCGCACTCCCCTCTCCCTAGGGCCTGACTTCACACCTTCAGTGTGGAAGAGCACATGGGAGAAAGCCGCACGCCCCGCCGCTGCTGGGTCTGTCCTTCCTGCCTCTACCCAAGCCAGCTCCCTTCCTGACCAGGTCACAGGAGTCAGGCCAGCACTGTGGCTTGCCAGCCTTTACTCTGCATTACTTAGAGGTTCCTATTCATTACTGAGCTTTAGAAACTATCACTTTCTGTTTTTAAGTTAGTAGACTTCTAAACATCTTTCAACAGAGTTTTAAAATCATCTTTTTTTTTTTTTTTTTTTTTTTTGTGGAACCGAGGATTGAACTCAGGAGGGGAGTGCTTTTTCCTCTGCGCCATCTCTCTGGCCCTAAACTCATCTTAAAAAACCTTGCATTTAACACAGACACTGGTTTTATACTTGAACCAAATTTAGAGTGCTGGAAGAAACGCAAGCCAGTTTTTCCTTCCCAAGTACTTTTTTAAAGTTCCTAAGTGGTATCATTAAATTTAAATGACATAATAAATATGCACGTAGGTAAATATAAAAGCAATTTACGTTTTCTCCTCTTAGTCGCCATCTTGTCATATAGATGAATTCCATAGTATGATCTTTTCCCATAATTTCACCGTTGCATAGTACATCCAACTTTAAAAAGAGTACAGATACGTTAACATAAGTAATTCTCAATTTGTAAGTCATTTACCTATTTTTCAAATATCTATACAATTGTGACTGCAGAAGCATTATTTGTTAAAATAATACTGAATATTTTATTGAAAATACTTTCATTTCTCACAGAATAGTAACCATTCAGGTGGGCAGTTTATCTTGTCCCAAATGCATATGCATTATCTCAGGCTCATACACATAATTTATCCGTACAATGCAAACTTTCAAGTTTTTATCTCTAGTTAACCTGAAGATTTTAAACACACTTCTGTGACTGCTCTGCCTGAAGTATCAGAAAAGGGCTGGACCTCCGAGCGCTCACACTCGCTCTAGGTTGCAGGAGCCAAGCAAGCCCCATGTCGTTAGGAAGGCCTCAGCAGCTCTGGCTATGCGCAGTTCATTAATTCAACAAGGCATAATTAAATGTTTATCATAAACTGCTATGAATAAAATAACATTTCAGTCTTTAGCTATTGAAATAACTGGTAAGATTTCACCTGAAGCATGGAAGGGAAGAAAAAGAATGTGTTTTAAATAATTCTGTGTCTTGGTGGACAAAGACTTTCACTGTGAACTTTAAAGTCTAAAATGAGTGACTGTACTGGACATATGAAACTGCATTATGGACTTCATGATAAACTGCTGACGTATTGAACTTGGAAATGTCTTTAGATGTGATTTTATTAGCGCTCTCTCTGTCTGTTTCTCACTTGCTGTTTTTCTCGATGGGTTCTAAGTCATCAAAGCTGGCCTTAAAACTGTGATCCTCCTGCCTCAGCCTCCCAAGTGCATGTTCTACCATGACCAGCTCTTTCATTAACTATTTAAAGAACTAAGTAGATAACTTCTGTTTCTTATTTTGCCTGTAAAATAAATGAACAGCAAAGAAGTAAAGGTAGTTACTTAAGATGCAATTAGTAATCAAGTGTGTATCTCCTATTGTCATTTAACAAAATTAATTTTCGCTGTTTAGCAATGCTGTCACACAAGTTTCAGCTTTTAGCTATTTTATTAAATCATCTCATACATGCTGGGAAACAAAATAATCAGAGACCAATCAATATTCCTAAAAGTAACTTAGAAAATGTCCTTTGAATGAGATATATAAAGTGTTAAGCAGTAGCTAGAATCTCTTCTCCTTCCCTCTTTTATTTAGTTTTTATATTTTTTAATTATTTGGTACAGGGTCTCACTACACAGATCGGACTCATAGTGATCCTTCTGTTTTCAGCCTCCCCAGCACTGGGATTCAAGGTGTGCGCCACCACGCTTGGACTCTGTCACAGGCTCAGCACGCCCAAGGGCGGGGCTGGTGCGGCATGCAATACTGGGGAGGTACTGGGGATTGAACCCCAGTTCCTGCACTTGCCTATGCAGGCTCTTAGTCCACTGAGCTATCTCGCCAGCCCTTTCTTCCATCTTTGTCTATACAGAAATAAAATGCATGCCAGAAGACTGACAATAGTTTTTTTTAGCTCTAACAACTTCCTGAAAACTAGAAGATGGCAACTCAATAAATCAGGTTTAAAAGTAAGGAAAACTGTACATGGTATTTCAAAAAATAAAAAATAAAAATAAAACTCTAATCATAAAAACAATTTCATTGTCTCCCTGTAAACTGTTACCTTTTACCTTACAGAGTTCGTTAGGTTCTAACATTTAAATTTCACTATTTTTTCCCTAAAATAAAAGTGGATGTTGCTGGATTTTTTTTTTTTTTTTTTTTAGGACCAAATAAGAAACATTTTAACCAAGACTAATTAGTCATCTGAGAGAAACTTTAAATTCAGTATCAGTTGCTTCCTCAAAATATAGATTTCATACCTGCCAAAGCTTATATTCAAATAGATCACATCTTATTTCTCTCACGATGAGTGCTTAGGATATAAACATAATTACACATAAGCCAGAAGAACTCTGATATCTTTGTTTATACAGGAAGCTAGCCTGGTCTTTAGTTTTTTAGATACCACTGTGAGAACCAGGGAGGAGAAAGGAGAAGTAGAAGTTGTACAATTGCTATTTAGGCAGGGATACTCTTCACTCTTCTGCATCCATACCCTTGGGATCACGCACAGTCTCTGAACACTGAACACCTTTTAAGCTCTCCTGTCATCAGTATCAGTGCAATCTGCCTCTCCTATAGTAAAATGGTCAAAACCTATTTATAAGACGCAGTATGTTGGTTTTACCTAGCGCTAAGCAGCATCAATTTTGAAGACATGGAATTACTTGAACATTATCTGTGAAATCCTTAAAAAGACAATGTCTACATTCTGAAGTCTATAAAAATAATTTAAAGGTCTCAGATTGAAAAATAATATGTCCTAAATTATGCTGATATTACAATGAAAATTTACTTAGCTAGTATATTAATTTGTGGGAACTTAAATATTTCCTCTAAATGCAAAACACTAAGTATATCTCTATCATGATTTACTCAGTATATGTTAAGCTGGTAATATATAAATGGAATATTATATTCTAAAAATTAAAATTTCAACATAAAACAAGTTTCCACAAGACTTTGAATATGTTATCAGTTAATTTCCTATTTTTAGAACTTCAGCTCAGAATTACCAAAATGATGAGGGTTAGATATTCAGCTTACCTCATAAGAACTTGGAAGTTTTAGTTTTAAACTTAGAAATTTTTTAATAGTTCCCACAGTTACACGTGTAGAACATCGAATGAATTTCTTCATTAGGCCCTAAAGAAAATAAAGATAACTAATTAAAGTATCCAACTTCACCTTTAATGAAACTTGAGGTACTATTTTCACTAACACTTTAAGTACTTTTAAAATGGGTTGTGAGATTGTCTAATTTTACAGGTCTGTGGTACTTGGAGGGACAATGCCCCTCGCCCCAGGACACTTACACAGCACGCGTTGAGAAGGCAACTGCCCAGGAACTATCACAAAGAATCGACAGCTGGGATCTCAGCAAGCAGCTTTTGCACAAGAGAAACCACCAACAGAATGAAGAGACAACCCACAGAGTGAGAAAATTTTTTCTCCAGCTGTTCCTTACACAAAGAACTAACACCTGCAATATATAAAGAGCTCAAAAAAGTTAGACCCCAAAATTTACAGACCCAATCCAAGAATGGGAATCTGAAACGGACACTTCTCAGATGAAGAAATACAAAAGCAAATAAATATATGAAAAAGTGTTCAGTATCACCAGCTATTTGAGAGATACCAATTCAAAAGAGATTCCATCTCATTCCATAAAGAATGGCTATTATCAAGAAATCCAAAAATAACCAATGCTGATGTGGCTGAGGGGAAAAAGGAAACCTCTGCTGCTTCTGGTCAGAGCGTAGCTGGTAGTATCATTGCTGTGGAAGTCAGTGTGTAGATTCCTCAAAAAAACTAAAATTAGAGGTTCTATTTGACCCAGCTAGTGCTCTTCTTGGTAGCTTTCTGGAAGAAGTAAAAGCTTTATATCACAGCAATGTATGTATTATAGCAGCATAACTGGAAATAGCTAAACTTTGAAAAAGCCCAAAAGCCCATCAACTGATGAATGGATAAAGAAGGCGTGGTTCTTTTGCACAGTGCATTACTACTTAGCCATAAAGAAGGGTAGGCTTGAGCCATTTCTAGCTAAGCAGATATACTTGGAAAACATATCTTACATGAGCTAAATCGACACACATGCATAAATACCATATAATTTCTTCATTGTGAGCAATGCAAGTATAAATAAGGACCAAAATGTGTGACAGATATTGTGAAACAGTAAGAAAATCTTCAACTGGGAAGGGGAACTAGAAAGGGGGAGAGGGGATAGGAAGGAATGACAAAAAGAACAAGAAAAGAGGAAAAAAAGGAAACTAAGGGAAGGGAAGAGGATTTAAAGGGATGGTAGGGAAATGGGGGAAAAAGAACCAAGATATATCATTTATAGGTACAAATTCCCTACAACGAATGTCATCATTATGTGTACCATTTTGTAGCAACAAATTAAAAAATAAAAGAAGAATATGGAGTTGTTAAAATTTCATTTCTGAATTGTTCATTCCTACCTAGCTCTTGACCCCTTACACTGATTTGTATTCCTGCAACCTCACTGAGCTAATCAGCCCTCAGGGCTCCTGTGGATCTCTACAATGTGTCTCTACCCAGTTATACCTTCTGCAATACTTACTTTACAATCTAGGTGTTTTTCTGGTCTAATTGCTCTAGTTACAGTATCTAGTACAACAGAGCAGAAATGATGCCCACAGAAAATACTGTTTTCTTGATCTTAGGAGGAAAGCTTTCAGTCTTTCACCCTTCCTCATGATGGCAGGTATCATTTTCTCTTTTGAGAAAGTTCCCTTTTAATTTCTAAGTTTGCTATCAATCTCAAAGGGCACTGAATTTCATTAAACACTTTCTCTTACTCGAGATTACAATGTAGTTTTTTAACTCCTGTATTCTATTAATGTGGAATCTTAACTGATTTTTCCTTTGTTGAATTAACCTTGATAATGGTATATAATTTGTTCTTTTTTTTTTTTGGCGGAATCGGGGATTGAATGCAGACCCTTGTGCTTGCTGGGGAAGCATTTATTCTACCGAGCCATCTCCCTGGCCTTATAACTTGTTCTTTATGCTGCTAAATGTACTTTATTTGCATCTATATTAATGAAAAAATTGGTTCATAGTTTCTAAGACTTCTTTTATAGTTTAGAATCATGGTTAAAAACATGTATATAAAGTTTACCACCTTAATACTGCTACTTACACTGATATAAAACAGAGCTTCAGCACTGTTAAATCTTGTAAACGTGAAACAATTATACCTGCTAAGCAAAAATTAACTCTGTTCCCATTTCCCCAGCCCCATTCTGCTTTCCATTTCTAAGAACTTGACTTTAGATCCCTCGTAATAAGTGGAAGTATTACAGTATTTGTCCTTTTATAAATTAATCATTTTACTTAGCATAATGTCTCTCAGGTTTACTCATATTAAAGGATGAGATGGGAATTTCCATTTTAAGGTTGAATAATGTATCGCTGTATGAATATACCATATTTCCACTCATTCAGTGATGGACATTTGGGTTGCTGTCACTTGTTGGCTACTGTAATTAATTCTTTTTTAAAATATATAATTATTTTATTGATATATTTATTCAGTACAGGGTCTTGCTATGACTATTTTCTTATATGCTTCTTGGTCACTGTATACCATTTTTGGAGAAATGTCTACTTAAAAACCACAGCCCAATTTTAAAATATGATTATTTGATGTTTCTGTGGTTCAGAATGAAGAATTCTTTATATATTCCAGGTAGTAGCCCCTTATCAGACTGCCAAGTATTTCCGCCATCCCACAAATATTTTATACTGATGTGCAAAAGTTCCATAGTTCTCTCTTACTGTCTTCACTTTTGGTGTTCAAGTAATAATGGGCTTCAAAGAATGAGGTGGAAAATGTTCCTATCCTTTGCAACAGTTGGGGAAAAGATGTGCTAATTTTGCCTTAACTGTTTGGGTTTTGTTGTGTTTTGTTTTCTTTTTTGCTCCAGTTTTATTATTATTCTTCATAGGTCTCTCCCTGAGAGTTTTTGTAGTTTAAAGAATTTACCACTCTATCCATGTAATCTTGATTTTTTTACCAAAGCTGTTCACAGTTTTCCCTTATAATAATCTGTATTTCATAAGATTGGTAGTAAGGTGCCCTCTTTTATCCCTGGTTTTGACAAGGTGATTCTTTTGTCTCAGTTTGCAGCAAAAAAACAAAAACAAAAACAAAAACAAAACCCAAAAAACAATTTTGTTAACTTTAAATAACAAGCTTTCAGTTTCTGAAACTTTTTTTCAATCCTCTAATTTTTCTCAATATTTATTAGTTTGTTCCTTTGCTTGATTTTTCTTTCTTCTAGTTTATGGTAAAAGATTAGGTTATTTATGAAGACATTCTTGTTTTAAATGTATGTGGTTATAGCCAAAACTTCCCCTCTAAACACTGCCTTTGCTACATGCTGTAGGTTTTGGCCTGCCGTGACTTCATTTTCTTTAATGTTAAGACATTTATTAAACTTCCTTTTGATTACTTCTTTGACTCAGTGATGATTAGCATTGCTTCATTTCTAAATATCTAGATTTCATAAGTTTGTTACTGATTTTTAATTTCATTCTTCTGTGGTCAGAAAATGTGCTCTGTATACAGTCAATCTTTTTAAATTTATGGGTTATTTGGTTTGTAGCCAAAAGTAAGGCCTATCCTAAAAAATCTCCCATGTATTCTTTTGTTGTTTGAGAAAAGGTCTCCCTACGTAGTTGTGGCTGACCTTGAACTCACTATGTATTCCATGGTAGCCTTGAACTTACGGCAACTCTCCTGCCTCAGCACAGGGCATACTGGAACTGCACAGGTGTACCACCACGCCCAGCCCATGTGCACCTGACAAGAATGTATATTCTGTTGTTGGGTAGCCTGTTCTACAGATGTCTGTTCAGTCTAGTTATAGTGTTGTTCAAATCCTGTTGTTCCTTACTTTGTTCAGCTGTGTACCCACTACTGAAAGTGAGATCCTGAAGTCCCAACTAGCACTGTTGAGTTGTCAAATTCAAATTTGCTTCATGTATTTTAGGGATTTGTTGTTAGATAAACACATGTTCCTAAGTATTATATTTTCTTGCTAGATTAACACTGAATGAAAAAAATCATTACTTTTTTTCTCTTGTGTATTTTTTGTCTGAATGTCTATTTTGTCTGTTATCGAAATTTCCATTTCTCTGGTAATAGTTTTCATAGAATTATAGGTTTCTAATAGTTTTTATAAATTCCATTTTTAGTCCACTGTGTCTACAAGTACTACCTACAGTATTTTTATTGCAGATAGTACAAAATTAAATCATATTTTTTCATTCTGCTAATCACTGGCTTTTTTTTTTTTTTTTTGGTGGAACCGTGGATTGAACTCAGGCCCCTGCGCTTACTGGCTTTTAACTGGAGGAGTGCTTAACCAGTTAATTTATAATGTATTCATGGATAAGGTGGAAGCTTTATCTGCAGCTTTGTTATTTTTCCATATTATAGATATATCAACTTGTATATAGCACTTCTGTCTCTATCCTGTTACTTTTGTCAAAAAAAACCTTTATACTTGTGTTAACCCAAATTTAGAATACTGCTATATACTACTCTTTTAAATTGAATAGCAGAAAAATAAGTTCCCAACAAAAAATATGTGTATTTTTCTTATTTTCTCTCTCTTCTTTCTCCCTTTAAAAATGAGTATATGTGCATGGTACACAGTAACAGCATTCAACTGGGGGGCTGGTATGTGCCACGTCACATTCCGCTCACCTTTACGCCATCCCTTGCTGCTCCTCTGCCTTCTTCCTCAGATCCTCTGCTCACTTCCATACTACCTCTCTGTTTCTGACCTTCCATCTTTTATTTTGCTCCTTAAATTATTTAAATTTTGAGTGTCTTACATTAGAGAACCCATGCAATATTTAACTTTCTGTGTTTGATTAATTTCATTTATTATTATGGTCTGAAGATCCATCCATTTTCCTATGACTCAAATTTATCCTATTTATGGCTGAGTCAGAATGTGTACATAAGCCATGTTTTCTTTATCTCTTCAGTTGTTGACGGCCTAGAGGCCCCAAAGAGAATGGAACAAATCATCAAAAAGATCACACACCGTGACAAAGTCAGCTTCATTCCAGGGCTGCGAGGGTGCTCCACACATAGAAAT